CGTCCTCTCACTCCTATTCTCACCCTCACAACTGACGCTTCACTGTGGGGCTGGGGAGCCCCCCTCAACGGCCTCTCCGTAGGCCACAGGTGGGATGCTGTATCCTCAAGGAGACACAAACTTTCTGGAACTGTTGGCAATAAAATTGGCCCTCCAATGTTTCCAGCCTCTGCTCGCAGGACAATGTGTAACTGTCTTAACCGACAATACGACGGCCCTCAGTTACGTCAACAGGCAGGGTGGAACGATCTCCCGCAGCCTCTGCCTCCTTGCTCTGGACCTTTGGACCTGGTGCATGCCTCTGCACATCTTTCCCATTGCCTCACACATCGCGGGCAAGGCAAATGTGAATGCGGACCTGCTCAGCAGAGGTCTCTCCCAGCGTCATGATTGGGAGCTGAACTGGACCTACCTACGTCCTGTCTTTCAAGAGTGAGGCGCACCTCATGTCAATGTCTTTGCCATCGGGCACAACTCGAAGTGCACCCTGTTTTGCTGCAGGGTGGCTCAGGATCCCAGGGCTTTGGGAGACGGACTCCTGTACCCATGGGACAACAACTTCCTATATATGTTCCCGCCTCTGCCTCTGTTTCTGAGAACGGTCCAAAGACTCATGAGGGTCCATACGAGGTGCATCCTGATCACCCCCTGGGGGCCGAGGCAACCTTGGTTCGCCAATCTCCTCTCACTAGCCAAGGCGCGCTATCACCTCCCACAGGTGCCAGATCTGCTCCTGGCAGAGGGAGGAGCCCTCCTATTCCACGAGGTGGACAAGCTCAAGTTAACAGCTTATCTCGTGGACACTTAACTTTCTCTGACAGAATCAACACTGTGCTACTCAATGCCAGGAAAGATTCTACGCGACCTTCCTACAGTGGGAAGTGGGCCCGCTTCTTAGCCTTCATACATCCCGCTGACGTCCCCCCGGCTTCTGTCAGGATTGACCAGGTCTTAGACTTTCTGCTCTCACTGGCAGAGAAGGGGCTCTCGCACTCCTTTCTCAAGGTATATTTGTCAGCTATTTCGGCCTACCACCCGGGCTTCGACGGCTTTTCCGTTTTTTCTCACCCGGTCACAAAGAGGTTTATGAAGGGTCTCCTCCACCTGTATCCACCAGTCCACTCACCAGTACCCTTGCGGGATCTAAGGCTGGTGCTCCGCCATCTTATGGGGCAGCCCTTTGAGCCCATGGCGACCTGCGAGCTAAAGCATACAGCATGGAAAACTGCCTTTTTCATCACCATCACCTTGGCCAGGAGGGTGGGCGAACTCGTGGGTCTGCGCCATGACCCACCTTTCCTTGTGTTCCTGCCGGACGGTGTGAGACTGCTCCCTGACATATCCTTTCTGCCTAAGGTTTCACCTAACCTCGGAGATCTTATTGCCTAACTTCTTCCCTAAACCGGAAGATGAACAACAGCGACTCCTCCACAATCTAGATATTCCGAGGGTGCTGTTCTTTTACCTAAATAGGACACACCAAGTAGGAGGAACAATCAACTTTCTGTCTCCTACTCCAGTCATTCTGCAGGGCTTAAAATCTCAGCACAACGTGTCTCCAAATGGATTGTCGAGACTATTAAGCTGTGCTACCAGTTGGCTAAACGCCCGTTGCCCATACCTATATGAGCGCACACTACAAGATTCATGGCCACGTCTACAGCCTTCTTGAAGGGTGCTTCCCTGTTGGCGATCTGTGGTCTACTCCGAACACCTTCATCAAGCACTACACTGTTGACGTTCGTGAACGCCACAGAGTGGACCTTGTTCATCTAGTCCTTTCGTCGGCAGAGCATTGAATTTGCGACAGCTCCCACCTCCAGGTGAGCCACTGCTTTTCAATCTCCCATGGGCGTGATGCACAGAGACCACGAAGAAGATAAACAGGTTGCTTACCTGTAACTGGTGATCTTCGAGTGGCCATCTGTGCAATCACACCACCCGCCCATCCTTCCCCACTGCTGCCGCTTCAGTACTTCTCTCTGGTTGTTGACATGACAGTGGTCAGAAGGAACTGGCGGGATGTCCGTGCCCCTCCTCTTTGGGCATGTGCAGTGGGGTTCCCGCGCATACCCGGAGGAGAGGCGTGAAAATCCCTGTGAGCTTTGCATACCACCGATACGGATCAGTGCAGGCGCATAATCCCATGGGTGTGACTGCACAGATGACCACTTGAAGATCACCAGTTACAGGTAAGCAACCTGTAGTTCTGATAAGCGCTGTTCTTGAAAAAGAGCAGTTTCTGTCAAGAGCTCTCTCAGCCCCACCTACCTTGTAGGGTGTTTGTTGTGGTCATGGTCAGAATACACTTTAGAGCCAATGGTTGCATCAACTATGTGATTTCGTAAAGATGAAGAAAAAAGAACATAGTCAATGCGAGTGTGGACTTGGAATTGAGATGAGAAATAGGTGTAATCACAAGCCTTGGGATAGCAGAACCGTCAGATGTCTATATAGTAAAATTTTTCAAGATTGGAATGTAATTTGGTGAATTGCTGCTTGGTTGTTATACTTTTGAGTTGTCTTTTATTAATTTTTGATCTATCTAACTTTAAGTCAGCTACATAAAGTCAGCACCAATCATTGCTTCCCCAATAGAAAAGGAATCTAATTGTGACATAACATCGTCTATGAATGAAAGGTGGTTTTCATTAGGAGTGTAAATTGAGGCTAGAGTAATTGGTTTGTCTGCAATCCTGCCTTTTATGAAAATGTATCTCCCTTTGGGGTCTGAGAGTGTGGATTCTAGCTTGAAGCTGAATTTTTTAGACATGAGTATGGCAACGCCTCTAGATTTACTCGTAACCAAGGCTAAGTATTAATATGTAAAGTGTTTTAAAGTAAAAATAATTTTTGTATGTTGTTTCAAGTGTGTCTCCTGAAGACAAAGGATATCAAGGCGCAATTTATAAAGTGCTCTCAAGACGTTTTTTCTTAATTAAATTGTTCAGACCCCTACAATTAAAAGAGATTAAGTTCAATTCATCCATTATTTAAAAAATCAAGATTGATTAAACAATTCATTAGAACTCCCAAAACATTAATTAAGTTAATGGTTGGAGTGAAGAATAATATTAAGTATAAACTAGCCTTCGTCATGCAAGTGAAAGCAGTCTGAAAAATTGTGGTGTTTAACCTCCCTCTTACATTTTCCTCCACCCATCACTGTGTATAAACCTTCAACTGTGCTATAGAGAATATAAACCAACTCTGTCTGAATGTGAAAACAAAACAACTCTAAACATAGTCAAGTCTTCGCATTGCATTATAAACAAGTTACAAATTATTTCCCAAGCCATTCTTCCCCCCCTCCCTCTCTCCTTCCCCTCTACCGCCTCATACCCCCAAGAACAAAATCTAAAAGAAAAAAGTATAGTGTGCTCCTAATTAGAAGTCATAGTGTTGACTCTTGAGAGTCCCCTGGATTTCAAGAAGATCAAATCAGTCAACCCTAAAAGAAATCAACCCTGACTGTTCCCTGGAAGGCCAGATACTGAAGCTGAAGCTCAAATACTTTGGCCACCAAATGAGAAGGGAGCACTCACTGGAGAAGACCCTGATGCTGGGAAAGACTGAAGGTCAAAGAAGAAGGGGACAGCAAAGGATGAGATGGTCAGACAGTGTTATCGAGGCAACGAACATGAAATTAAGCAAATCGGAGCACGACAGAAGACAGGAGGGCCTGGCATGATGTGGTCCATGGGGTTGCGAAGAGTCGGACTCGATTGTGCAACTGAACAAAATAGGAATTTTGCTCCACTTATGTGGAGTCATTGGTGAGTCAAGTTTCCTTTTTTATGATTTCCTCGCTGCTTCATGAGGGACTTCTATGCCAAGTCCATGTAATAGATTGTAGCCTTCTTCTATGTCTGATGTTTGGTAGCTTTTATTTTGAAAGGAGACTTGTAGTTTCCTTAGTAGTGACCACCGGTACTTTATGCCAGCCTCTCTCTGTTTTGTAGTAATTGGCTTCAAGGAATGACAGCGCTGTAGCATTTCTGATAAATCTGGGAAAACCATAATAGTCATGCCCTGAAAGGTGAGGCCCCCCCTTACTCTAGATACTTGTAATAATTTTCTCTTTACACGGAGGTCTGCCAGTTCTATAATTACATTTCTTGGGCCCCTCAAGTGAGCTGAGTACAATGCACCAATTCTGTATGCCCTCAAGATATGGGGTGTTACACCTTCCTCTAACTGAAGAGACTTAGAGAGCCATGTTGCAACAAAATTGGCCAGGTCAGCTGACTCTTCCACATTTTCGGCAAAACCTTGTAATTTAACGTTCCGCTCTTTTAGCTTTATTTTCAAGACAGAATTTTTTTTCCTGTAGCCCACCCCTCATAACGTTGTAATTGTTGGATTTCAATTTGGTGAGTCTGCCCCATTTCCATTGCCATTTCAGCAGTTTGTGATGTTTTTTGAAGGCTTCATTCAGATGTCACAACAAAATCTAACTGAGGATACATTTATCTCTGCTGGGCACAATCCTAGTTTGCTCGTTGTACTCATCTGCTTCCCAGGCCCCCCCTCCTCTGGTGGGTGGGGCTTGACTGAACCTAGTTTGACCTAGCTCCAATCTGCTCTGATGTCCAAGCACAGGAACCACGGTAAACTGGAGTTTGTTTCCCCCACTTGAGAATCATGGCTTATAGGATGGGGGCTCAAATTTTCCAAGGCACCTGAATTTGGGCATCATGAGAAACATGGAGCTTAATCAAACCAGTGAGGGACAGGATGACAGAGGTCAATGCCTGAATGCCACACGTTCATGATCCTCAATGACAAATCTCTCTTAAATTAGAATTTATTGTGAAGTCTGAATGTAGCCTTTGGTAATGACACCCTGTTCTAATGCCATGTTCTGACGATGTTCTGTGGCCATTGTGTACTGTACATCTAGGAAGCTGCAGAAGGCCTTGGATTTTTATAACATTTAAATGTCATTTTGTATAGCTCTTAATATTTTACTTTGTAATTGTAGGCCATGAGATACTCACCAATGAGGTATGGGATGGAGGGTGGGATGGTGGGTACCACCACACTGTTTTGTAGATGTTGATGTAATGGACAAAGAGAGCAATTAGGTGGCAGAAAAAGAGCTGGAGTTCAAACAAGATGCTCCTCTCCACAGGCAGCTCAGGGATCTTGCAGTGCCGGAGGGGAATCACCGTTTGAGCTGCCAACGGAGGACTGGAAAGGCCC